TCGGAAACTAATCTGGCAGTTTGTTTGCTTCCTGCTGAAGTTTAGATCTTATTGAAACAGAAGTAGTTTGCTTACACTGACGGACTGCCTATAGCAGCCTACATACTTTTGCTATTTGAGGTTGTTATTTCCAATGCAACACCATGGACGAAATTGCATGTCCCAGGAACTAGCTTCAGTAACTGTGGCCTCCACCAACCCACTTGACTCTCACAGCATGCTGCTTCTTCGGCCTGTGCCTGATCAGGTCCCGTGGGGCTAATGTCTGACCACCCCAAAGCTCAGGGAAGTGACTGAACGAATAAAACTGGATAGGAACGAATTTGTCTGGGAGGGTGAGGTGTAAGTAGTGACACCACTCCTTCACATTAAAAATAAAGCATGTTGAGGTGGTTCAGGCATCTCACTAGGATGCCTCCTGGATGCCTTTTAAGCAAGGTATTTTGGACATGTCCTCCTGGGAAGAAGCCCCAGGAATCATGTCTCTCAGCTGGCTTGGGAATGTCTTTGTGTCTCCCTGGTTAAGCTAGAGTCGGTGGTCAGTAAGAGGGAGATCTAAGCTGCTGCCCCTGCAACCTGAATCTGAATAAGTGGTATAACATAAAAAGATGGACGATTGATGCTTACCGTACATGAGAACCTGAGAAAACTCCTCTATTCTTATTTCTTTTCCTTTTTTTCTTCAGACATGGAAGAACACTCTGGACCGTTATCCTGACACGCTGCTGGGCTCCTCTGAGAAAGAGTTTTTCTTCAACGAGGACACAGAGGAATATTTCTTTGACAGAGATCACGAGATGTTCCGGCACATTCTGAACTTTTACCGCACAGGGAAGCTCCATTACCCACGACACGAGTGCATCCAGGCCTTTGACGAAGAGCTGGCCTTCTACGGCATCGTGCCGGAGATCATTGGAGACTGCTGCATGGAGGTACACCCACTCTTTCGTCTACAAAGCCTCCCCCCGTGTAGTTCAAAATGTTACTAATTGTTACAAACTGCATCACAAATGAGAACCCACACAGATTGGTATTCATCAAGTTAAAGAGATAAATTGGATTTTGTTCTGTTATGAACAACAGAGGACACATTTTCAGTTGTCATCAGTCACATTATTGCTTTTCAGGTTTGTCAAATTGCTCCTAATGGTGTATGCAGTAGTCTTTGCCACTGTCTACAATCAAGGAAATAAATGCGGTAATAATAGCCTGCTGAACCATCAGGTGTAGTAGGATGTCTACTAACCACATCTAATGGGGTAAAAACGTCTAATAATGGCCATTTAACATTCTGGATAGTGCGGTATGAACAATCCTTATAGACAAAAGTGAGATTTTGGATTAAAAACACCAAAATGTTGCATATTCTTGCCCAATGACTCCATCGAGCCTCTGGGCTTCATTACAGCTCTAACAGTCCAAATGATGAGGGCAGCAGGTTTCAGCTTTATGTTCTTTTAACTGCAGTCCTTTTAGACAACTTTATAATGCCTGCATCATTTGTAGTGTACTTATGTGAACCTTTGACCTTTTATCTCTTTCTAATGGTCGCCTCTAATGCTGGTTATTCTGCTTCTGCACTCATTAAGTCTCTCTGGAGGGGAACATCATGAACCAAACGCCTAAAGAGTGAAAACATTGATGGATCTGAGGGGACTGACTAACAAGGGCTGCTCTCAAACCCCATTATCAAACTTCGACTCATTAAAACAGCGGTGATGAGCCCTTCGAAGCGGCAGCAGCCCAAATACAATCTGATTTGCCTTTTTATTGCTCCTGATTTTGGAAAGCTCCTCACAACGGCTTTCTGTAGGAGATTTCTTTAACGAGCCTTAAACAAGTCTCTTTGTTCCCTGCCCACTCTCAGCGCAACAGATCACCTTCAGAGCTTGTTTTCCCTTTTATTAGCCGTGTCTGCACAGACTTTATTTTTATATCCCCGTTTTTATAGCTGACCCATTCATTGACTCATGAATGAGTAATTGTTCATTTTCTCTTATTTGGCAGATCTGATCATTTCCACAAATGTTGATTCAGCTCTAACAAATTCTGGTATCTAAATTTTTTTTTTTTTACTTTGAGTCTTCATCAATTTCCCACAAAATTTTTTTTAGTCCTTTAGTCGACAAATTCTGTTCTTGTGTTTGATATTTACTGAAATTTGCTCGTTTACTGAATATTAAATCTCCTTCTAGATCAAACTGTAGAAGCTGCTTTCTGCTTTACATTTTACTTGTCTTGCTAAAAGCTTCCAGGAATGCCAGCAGCAGGTGCTAGAGAGAGAAACGGTGATCATTTAATACAGAATGATGTAAAAACCGGGTGAAAGTACTTTGTTTCTTAAAATCTGAAAACTCCTCTATAAAAATATATATTCCTGTCATCACTCTGTGTTTATTTTTAACTGAACGAACATCTTCAGAAAGTCGGGCGAAAAGCAAAGTTCAGCTTTCTGCTCCATCTCAACCTGGATGCCTCATATTCTCCAGAGAGCATCTGGCTTTTATCCTGTCTTCCTTCTCCCACCCCAACCGGTCACAGCAGATGGCCCCGCCCCTCCCTGAGCCTGGTTCTGCCGGAGGTTTCTTCCTGTTAAAAGGGAGTTTTTCCTTCCCACTGTCGCCAAAGTGCTGCTCATAGGGGGTCATATGATTGTTGGGTTTATCTCTGTATGTATCATTGTAGGATCTACCTCACAATTATTGTTGTGATTTGGCGCTTTATGAATAAAATTGAATTAAATTTTCTAATAATTTTTACCTTTATGATGTTGAACCATGCCCCTTCTTTGAATTATTGTGGTTCAATATCAAAGCAGATAACTGAGCAATCATTTGTAGCACATTTATAAATGATTAAACTCCATCAGCCTTACGAGAAACCACCAACTGATCTCAAACCACACAGCATTATTCCCAAACGTTACAGAAAAGACAGCTGTGTGACCGAAGTTATTGCAGCAGTGACCAACCTACTTGCTTTTCATGTGGCTCCTTTAAAGACGGGGACCAGGTGTGAGATTAGTCGCAGTCAGTTCCTGTCTTCAAACCAACTTTGGTGGGTCAAGACAGCAATAACACAGGGATAAGAAGAGTCAGCCTGCTATAACTTTTCATGCATTGTTGTATGAAGCCTGGGGTGGACTGGTCACCAATGGAGCGTGCAGATTCCACATATCAGGCATGACTCTCTCAGCCACAGACTAGGCCGAATGTAGTGTAAGGGAAAGTTTTAGGCGTGTGTTTCTCAGCTGGAGAGCAGAGAGTTGCTTTATTACAAACTGTTCCTTTTTATAAGCCTGAAATTTATGTGTTGTAGCTAACATCATGTACTCTGTGTAAAACACAAAGTGTTATTTCAGTCAGATCCTGAGCCATCTGTGCGTTAATGCTGTTATTGTTCCATGTGCCTAAACGCACGCAGTGCTTTGGGATTTTCTGCACTGTGTAAAGCAGAATCAGAGTTTTGCACCATGGCTGCAGTCTCACAAGCTATAGTTCAAAAGCCTTGTTATATCTGAAAAAGTATGTGTGCTTGGTTTGTTGGCTTCATTGGCCACTGATGATGCAGCTGCTGTGGTCAGCTGATAGAGAGAAACAGCCACACTCACGAGTGAAAAGATCAAGCATAACCTGACTGTCATTCATAAACTAGAACTTGCAGCCTATGATGGGTCATTTTCATATATTTATTAACTCTCAGACTCTGAAGGTTTGCTGTTGATTTCATTGAGCAAAACAAGATGCCCCCTCCCTGTATGGAGGTTCAGAGAGGTGTTTAAAAAAAGTGATGCTCTGCAGGAGAGCGGAAAAAATCTCTCATCAAAACAGACGGTTTTCTTAATCATCTACAGAAGTGTAATATTCATTCTTCCTTTAAACTGACAGCTTTATTAAATATTCAATACCAAAGCTTACTGTAATCTGATTACTTTTTCAAGTAAGCAATGAAGTAAGGGATTATGATTGCAAAAAAGTAATTAGATTACTG